ATGAGGTCAACAAAGTACCCGTTGTTCTCTCTTTTATCATCAACTGAACCTGCAGTTGGTACCTTCCTCTCAACTTTATACTTCTCTTTTATTTTTTATCAAACAAAAAACAGCTTTAAAGAAATATTGTTATGTCAAGTTTCATAATTCAACTATAACTCCTTGATAATTCATGCCTTAAAATTTATAAATTAAAAGAATAAATAGTCTATCAAATTCACACTAAAATCAAAAGATGATTTTAATATCAAGAAACCTATACAAATAAAATATTAATAGTAAAAAAATTATTTTATTACTTAAAATTTATAAATTTTCATATGTATCTTAAATTTTTTATATATACTTTTTTCAAATTATTAATTAATATTTTAATTTACATTAAATAACAAAATATTTGAGAATATAATATTAAATTAAATCTATAAAATATACTAATCTACATTTATAAAATGATTTTTGATTTCAGGAAAATTATATATATAATTTTAGAGTGGATTCATTGACCAACCCACGTCCGGCCTAGGCCCGAGCCCAACCCAAATTCATCAAATTATAGTGGGGGCTGGGCTCAGGTTGGGAAAATTGGGCTTAACCTCAGACTCGGTCCGGGCTCGGGCCTTAAGTTCAAATTTTAGGACCGGGCCCGAATTGATCATAAACCCAGCCCAACCCACCCAACTTGCACCCGTACCTATCATGTATAACATGTTCCAAAGCCAATATCCCAATGCATATTTAGATAAAAAAAAACTCCGATGCATATCCGCCTATATAGATTGATATATTGTGATATTTTGAACCTTAGAATTTGAATCGTCCAAACATAAGGCTTAATTTGTTCTAAATTGTACACTAACCCATAATGTGAATTCATCAATATTCATGTGATGATTTTGATTGGTCAAAACTCTCAAAATATCATATAGCGTACAAACATAAGTAAAGATTAAATGGGAACGTATTAACTTTATACGACTTTATATGATGTGAGACTGATCGATTCATCATCTACATCAAAACTTAAAAAGAAATATAATTTTACATAATATAGTATATAATATATATATATATATATATATATATATATATATATATATATATATATTATATACACACGACATACACATATATCTGCAAATAGATATAGCCAACTAAAAAGCTCATACATAATGAATTGAGTTTCTTTTTTTTTTATTATACAGAGTAGCGTGCTTGCCTTTTTTGTACGGAATTTATCTATGCCTCATATTTTGGAGAGATGCCAAATTGGGAAAACTTTGGCTGCTAATCTACTTGATTAGTTCACAGAAAAGAAAGAAAAGCCTGCTTGATTCAAAATTTTTCCCTCTATTTTTGTTTTAGGGAAAATTTCTAATAGGTATTCTGTACTTTAGGTCAAGTGTTAATTTAGTATCCGAACATTAAAATGCGACAATTTAGTATTTGAATTTTCGAAATGCGAGAATGTAGTATCTACTGTTAATCAGTCGTTAAGTGTCATGGAAAAAGAGATAAATGCCCTTCAAGTGTCACCTAATTTTCTTTATCAACCATCTACAATCTGTAAGCCTGTAAGTCTGCAACTAGGGCTGTTCATAAGAAGGCCCAATCCGACCAAACCGACCAACTCGGACCAACCCAACCCGAGTCAGCCGGGTTATCTTCAGCACCAGTCAGTTTTGGGTTGTAAAACATTATAAATCGATGGTTAGGGTCGGTTTCGATTTTCTTGTGTGAAAACCGAAACCGACCTGACCTGAACCGACTTAGCTAAAGAAGCATGTTATTGTATACTTTGTTTAGTTGTTCATAATCCTTTGTGCAATGCATACAAGTCGATAGTTTGAAATTCATGATTTTAGTTTTCGTGGTGAAACTAATCTCTAATCCCAAGTGCTTATCAATTTGTCTTCTTTTTGCCGTCTTCACTTCTAGCGAGAATAAATTCTCAAACTGACAATCCAAACTTGCACCACACAGGCACATGGGGGGCATGGTTGAACTTAGAGCTGAAACCGACCCAAACCGACCCAACCCGACTCAAACCGACCAGATCGATTTTGCTTAACACTGGGTCGGTTTTGGTTTCAAGTTAAGGTAACCCGACCAGGTCGGGTCGGTTGGAAAAACCTCAGTAAACCGACCCAACCCGACCCGTGAACAACCCTATCTGCAACAACTATAGAGAGAGAGGCCGAGTACCTACAGACAGTTGAACCGTCCCGTTAAGAGACTGTTACGTTCGATCTTGTTCAAATGGCAAAGAAGATGAAGAGCTGGGAAGATTGGTAAGGGGTTGGAGGACCATAAAGAAGATGATGAATAGTGTGTAAGGGTAATTTTGGCATTTACAAATGTCTTAAATCGCAGATGAGTTCACGTGATATACATAATTGACGGTCCATTAACGGTAGGTACTAGATTGTCGCATTTCAAAAGTTCAGGTACTAGATTATCGCATTTTAAAGTTCGGGTACTAAATTGGCACTCGGCTTAAAATATAGGGTACCTATCAGGAAGTTTCCCTTTGTTTTATGAGGGATTTAACTCAGAGTTTCATCAATATCCTTAAGGTTTTGAGTTTGGTCAATGTCCTACTAAGGCTGTGTTATATAACATGAATGTTTTTTATAATTTCGTTTATTTTTGAAATTGCCACATAAGCAAAAAAAAAAAAAGTAATATACACTCTTAAACTGTGTTTTCTATTTTAAAAATTAAAAACAAGTTGATTTTTCTTCAGAAAACAATATATGTTTTTAAGGCCATTAAAATAATGTTTTCTAAAACAAAAGTAAACCTTATAGTATAAAAGTTAAATGATTTTAAGAAAAATAATATTAAATAACCATATGAAAACATCTTCCACATGCTTTTGGTTTCAGTTTTAGAAACAAAAAACACGTACATGACCGAGAGTAAATTTGTTGGATTTTAAATTCATAAGAGATTAAATCCAATGGGTTTGATTGGTCAATTACATGAGAAATTGCACCTACACACTTGATTGAAAAATTAGTTTTTCTCTTGCAAAACCTAGTTTTGAACTTGTCCCACATTGGAAAATTATAAGTTTTGTTTTCAGTATTTCAATAGGAATTGATTTACACTCCTTAAAAATAGTAGAGGAGAGTATGGGGGTTTGATATCGCGTAATGCGCGCGCACGTGTGTGTGCGGCGCAATGAGGCACTTTAGAGGCGCACTTTACTCGCACTTTGCTCGAACCCGCGTGGCTCGCGAAGGGCGGCTTTGGTTTTGGTGCATTGATGACCGTTGATCACTGTTGATGAGATCAACGATCACGATTCGATTGGGTGTGATCAAGAGGCACAATTCAAAGTTAATAGTTAGTTAACTACTTGAAATTGCGACTGTTCAAGGTGCCTTCTCTAAACCAGCACCTACCTTTTCTTCATATCTCTTCATAAACTATTTAAAGTGCATGAATCAGACTCCAAAAACACACAATTTCGAAATTCACTTTCTCTCTCTCTCTCTCAGTCCAGTCTGCTATAGTCTCACAGAAGGTTTCTTCGGAGATTCTTCAACTTTGCTGGTTGCAGATTCTCGCCCAAGGCTCTGTTGTATCTTGGGAACGGATTTGCCTGTAACCCAACAATAAACTCAATGAAACTGAGTGGGGACAAATAACGTTCTAAAGACAGTGTCTTCAGACACGCCTCAGAGCTTCTCCTCCAAAATTACAGTAACCCCATTTTCCAACAAAATTTGTAGGAGATTTTTAACTTTAACATTCAGATCAACTCAGCATCTTACACTGAACGGGATTCATGTCTTTGCTTCTGTACTTGGCATCTCTTATACTTTCTGTTTGTAAGAGTGCCTAAAGTCCTATCTTGAAGTCTCCAGAGTCAAAGACCATCAGACCCAAGTCTCTACCACAACCATCAAAAGTCTTGAATAAAGATATGCTGATATGGTTGAAGAGTTGTGGTGGAGGGATAAAGAGAAGAGAGAGGGAAGAGGAAAATGATAGAAGGTAATTAAGATTGTACTTGGTACCATTGCCTTTTTTAGGTTGAAACGTTGTAATGGCATTTCATATCAAAACCCAAATCATTTAGGTTATGTTTGGCTTGAAGGAAAAAGGAAGAGAAATGTGGGGAAACCAGTAAAACGTACGGTCTTAATGCCTATCCATTAGGTTAACGACCTGTGAATGACCACATCTAGAAAGATCACAACCCAACCCTTAAGGCAGTGTTTGGTTTGAAGGAAAAACCAGGGAAGGGAAAGGAAGCCTTTACAAACCTTGTATAGGTTTCCATGTGTTTCCCTACCGCTCATTCCTACAAACCAAACATTGCCTACATAAATGGGTGGGTAGGGTTGAAAATACCGCCACTACATTGATCATTTTATTAACCAATGACCCATGACCATGAGATGGTCCTTCCGTGTCCCTTCAAACAGAAGGCAAGGGATCAAACCTATGTCAGTGCAAGCTCTCCACACACTTTCTCTGTCCCCACCTCCTAATCACCATATGTAATACTAAAAAACGAATTATTTTGTTTTATCATAAATTTGAATTCCGAAAAATGAAAAATAACATGGTACAGGAGGGGTCCGGGTGAAAATAATGGACTAAGCAAGCCAATGACAAAAAGACAAATTCATCACTGTTCCACCTTGATAGATTCATCAATATCAAAGCTCATTGTGTTGGTATTACTATTATTAACTCTGCCAAACAATAATTGAAAGAGACTGGAAGCAGCTCATCATCGATTGTTTGAAGAAGGCTGTAAACTCACTATGGAGATTGCAGAAAATTATTGAAAAGTGCCATCATGTTCTATCTTGTTTGAACTCAAGTGTCACGTTTTTTCTAGAAAGCAAATCAGGCAATAGATTGGTTGGCTCGTAATGTAAGAAGTTTGGATGTTTTTCCTTGGTCTCTTAATTTTATTTGTATAACGCCTTCCGATCTATCAAAAAAGGAAAAAGCTTTTGATGCTTTTAAATCCACCGTGAAAAGGTGCTTGTACGCACAAATTAATAGCTTAATAAAGATTCCGGAAACATGTGTTTGTTTCATGTAGATTATAAACTAATGATGGAAAGGGAGTCCTACAATCTACAGTAGTAGGTTATTCACTACAAACATCCTACCTAGCTGCAGGATCACCAATGATGGAAAGGGAGTCCTTCACGTGATCCCATGAAAGTTGCTATTAGCATTGCTTTAATCAGGATTACTCCTTCTAACCACCTGCAGGATCACCAATTTATTCCTCACCTCTCCATCAATGTTTCTGCATGGTCAGACCTAATTTCAAAGCCGTGCTTGCAATGTAGTTTTTTAGTTTTTTCTCCGTCATCTTCATGGGTTTTCTTACCTGCAAATACATTTTAAAAGTTAAAACTAAATATAATAAGATAACAAATGGTTGATTGATATAGATTCTTATAATCAAACTTGATCCATCTTCTTTACCGACTCTCTATTCCACTAGGGTAGGTGTGTAATTGCTGCAAATAGTATACCATCCGATTTGAATGCATGTGCTTATATCTACTTTAAATTAATAATTATATTCTATCAATCAGTAAAGTTGGTTGAATATTGCATTTTTACTAACGAACCATTTATTCAAGTTTCAGAAGTTTTATTATAAAATTTCTCTCATGCACCCCTAATCAAATATGCCTACACCCGCATTTGAAATAAAAAATCAGTGTATATCATAATCAGTCCAGATCTGCACCCACAAGGGGGCGCCCCACAACCTCCACCACAGCACTTCCCTGCCGTGTATTACAAACATCTCTCAGTCATTGATATTATCATCAGGAAATGTTCTTAATACACACACGATGAGAATATACTGTGGGACGTTGTGGGGCACCTCCTTATGGGGTGCATATGTGAACTCGTATATGATAATGAATTTATTTCAATAGCTGGTTTGTTATTGGGTGTTGGCATGTTGTTGGGGTTAACGGTACAACGTCAATATATATATATATATATATATATATATATATATATATATATATTCTAGTGCATTTGCAAGAGGATGGACTTGTTTATTGCCACGATATTATCTCCAATGGATTTGATTGGCCAATTACATGAGAAATTGTATTTGTACACTTGATTGAAATATTAGCTTTTCTCTTACAAAACTCAATTTTGAACTTGTCCCACATTGGAAAATTATAAGCTTTGTTTTCAGTATTTTAATAGGAGCTGATTTACACTCCTTAAAAATAGTAGAGGAGAGAGTATAGGGGTTTGATACCGTGCAACGTGCGAGCACGCATGTGTGTGGCGCAATGAGGCGCACTTCGCTTGCACCCGCGTGGCTCGCGAAGGGCGGCTTTGGTTGCAGATTCTCTGAATTTCTTCGGAGATTCTTCAACTTTGCTGGTCAGTGAAACTGAGTGGGGGCAAATAACATTCTAAAAACAGTGTCTTTAGATGCGCTTCACAGCTTCTCTTCCAAAGTTATAGTGACCCCTTCACTCTATACTAAGACCTACTCATGGGCCGGGATCGGGTCGGACTTTCACTCTATACTAACAGATTTTTCTAAGGCGAAGCGGCTAAATAGAGAGAGAGAGAGAAATTATAAAGAAAAGAATAAAAAATGTATATATTAAATTATAAATATATATTTCAGTAAATATTATATTATTTATATATTTTATATAATATATAAAATACATATTATATATTTTATAAAATATATAATGCTGAATCGGGTCGAGCCGGGCTTTTTTGACAAATCTAGAGCCCGACCCGAAATACAATCGAGCTTATTGTGTTAGGCCCGAGATCAGGCCCGGAAGCCTAATTACATGATCAAGCCCAACCGGGATACAGGCCGGGCCGGGCTGGGCCATCAGGTTACCCGGCCCATGAACAAGTATAATTCCCAATAAGCACCTGTAAATGTCTGGTCGGTAGGATGTGAGCCGGAATGGGTTGTGGGTGGCAGAACGGAGCCCCATTATGCACGCATGCCTTTTATTTATGATAGATGACGGCCCTACTAACTCTACGATATTGCCTTTCTTGTTGGGGACTAAGCAATTAGAGCGCCCCATGTCAGCCGTGAGGTGTATATGCTCCAATTTTACTGTATATGGGGCTGTGCATTGTAAGATGCGTGTCATCCCCAAATTTTTGCTCATTCCAGGGTGTTAGCTACTAACAAATGCATTACAATCGCACATTGGGAACATCTCAATTGTCATTCATGAGGAGATATTCCCAATGCGCAGCCATAGTGTCTTGTGGATATAAAATGCACTAATTTGTTAGCATTTTATACTACTTTTAGCTCAGTCCTTGGATCCATTCAAATTTTAACAAAAGCATAAACCAAGTTGCACTTCTAGTCTTTCTGCGTAACAGATTCCCAGCTCCCTATAGCTTCTCCAGAAAGCATCCTACTGTTAGTCTGTTACATGCATCAACATTGTATTGAAGTAACCAATTGATGGTTACTCAGTTGGTAACCACTGACTGGTTGTAGTGGAGACTTGGGATCTCATCTAAGTCCCTCTGTCACAATGGTTAAGGGGGTTATGAATTTGGTTGGGGGATGTGTTAGCCTCTGTTGTTTGTTTCGTCAACATTGTTTTAAATCTGGAATTTTTTTTTTTTTGAGGCAGACGAAAGAGCGATCGACTTGAGTTTTCACACGTTCACCGGAATGAGCGAAGATGAATAAATAAGTAGAAAAGGATAGCTGCTTACCCTAACGAAAACTGTCGTCAGAAGAAGTTGTGGCTTGATCCTCTCAAGCGCAGTGTATGTAATCTCGAAACCGAGAGACTCCACCACTCTTAAGATCTCTCCTCCCACACCAGTGCTACCCTTGCATGTTATCTTCACCACATATCTTCGATCCTCCATTTTCTCTGTCTCCATCTGCATTATTATTGATTTACAATACACAAATTAATATATGCAATAAGTAAATAAAATTTCATGTACACTTTATTATACCATATAAATAATCAAATGTAGACATAGAAATGCAATAAATTACATCAATTTAGGTAGCAAGCATACATCGGCCGGATTTCAAATGATCAGGGTTTCATGCCATTAGACCTGGTTGGTGGGGATTTTAATTACCTCGATAATCTTGGTTTTGGGTCTCGAAGTGATGTTGGACGCTGACCCCCGCCGGTTACGGGGATTTGGGATTGGATTATCCGGCCATGTCTCCGGCAAGTTGATTAACGAGGGTGGTTGTTGTTGTTTAAGCTCCTTTTGAAGCTGTGCAGTTTCTTCATGAATGCCCTTCAGATACGACAGAGCGTCCACTAACACTGATCTTTTGTCCATCTGTAATACAAACCAAATTAACCATTATATTGATTGCGTTAAATCAGTTTGCACATTCTTTCTTTTTAATTAATAGAAATCTTAGAGACTAGCTAGTTTTCATCAATAAGATTACCTTAGTAATATTGGGAACAAGAGAACGAAGAGCAAGCAATTGCTGACTCAGTCTCTTCCTTCTGTTCCTTTCCGAAACCAAATTCTTACAACTCGGCACACTTGGCTTTGGGTCATCATCCGTTGCTTCCTCATCGTCTTCTTCAACGTAACGTTGAGGTTCCGTCGCCGTTGCATGATCAACAGCATTAGTGTTAATCGGTTGAGGAGTGTCAACCTCCACTGAATCCAGAGCCGTTGGTGTCGTTGAATCCATTATGGACTGAAAGACATGATCGTCGATGCTATCTTGGCTCTCCTCTGGTGCAATTAGAAGGCTAAGATAGTTGCCATCATCTACAAATGCGTCGCGGACATCTACTTCCAGATGGTTGTGGGTGATCAGCGTCGTATCAACACTAATTTGGACGCTTTCAGTGCTGGGTCGGCCGGGATCGAAGCTAGGGAAGTCCAGTAGTGATTCATGGGTGTGTGGTCTTGGTGGTTGCAGGGAGAAAAGATTGGAGTCTAGATCCGAGGTTATGAATTGGAATAAAGGGTCATCCAGCATTTGAAGATCTTGTAACTCTTGGGGGAAGCTACTACTAGGGTTGTAAGTGTCATCTTGGTCTAGCCAAGAAGAGATTATGTCTACGTACCTGGTTGTTGGATTCGGGGTTGTCTCAATTGTCGGTTGGTTCTCTTCTTGGAAGGAAAAATCTCCTACTTCTTTCATACTGATGCTATATCACTAGCTCGATGTCCAACCCAGTAGCAGTAGGTCACTCTTTTAATTACTTTCAGTAGAATGTTCACTCAACTGCTAATATGGCTTCGATGGGGAAAAAAATGGATGACAAACCACATCACACAATAATAAGAAGATGAAATTAATACTCTCTCGCTCTATGTCACAATCTGGACTTTCCTTGTTTCTCTCTCTCTCTCTCAGAGTTGGGCCTTGGGAATATAAAGAGAATTGATATAGAAACGTCCAAAAAAGTTTGGTGGCTTAATTGTTGATGACATTGAATTTCTATGTTTCCAGGAGTTTAAATTTGTTTCGGTTTTTAAAGGGGGAGAAAAAGTTGCCGAATTAATGAAAGGGAGGAGAGAAAAATGGAAGAAGAAGAAGAAGGAGAAGAAGAAGAAACCCTTTGTCCTTCTCCTCCTTGTACCCCCACCACGGGCACAGTTGAGCTGACTGACACTGTGATAAATCACCACAAAATTCTTATCCACACTTTCCCACTAATTTGAAAACCCTTCTCACTTCTTTTACCCTCCGAAGTCCCAACAAGGAGACGCAAACAAATATGACCACCTTCCGAAGAAAAGGAGATGATGATGCATAATATCAAGTATGCACAATAATTTGGTGTATCAACTATCAAACACCGCCATCGGTGATCACGTGGTTCAATCTGGAGTCATATAATTCAGTTTGTTTGCACTGTAACTTTTATAATTTTCCTTAATTATTAATTCATGGGAGTGAAAATAGGCTGAATTGTTGTTTGTTTTTTGTCTTCAGATTTAACTTTGTCTTAGATGTCTCTGAAGCTCCATTTGGAAAGGGTGCAAATAAAGTGTATATGCAAATATGTTGTGTATATTCTGGTCCATGCAAATGAAAAGTTGGTTTTATTTTACATAATAAATTTATTTTTTTGCCAAACGATTTTTAGTTATATCGGATGCAAACAGGAATTCCTAGATTAATTAAAATATATCATTTTTAGTTTGTCCAATTTTGAGTGCAAAATTTGCATCCATTTTTAGATAAAAACCTTGTTCTCATTTTGGATGCAAACATGCCTTGAAATTGTGAAAGTGTCACTCTCGTTTTGAGAGTGTGGTAGGTAGCAATTTGAAAGAGAATTTAAATACGAGAAAGGTGGTCCAAGTTTTGCATCAGTTTTTGGGATGCAAGATTTGCACTGTCGTGATTTGCGAATATAAATGAGACAAAAAGTACAATTTTCATATTAGATACAAATGCAAATCATGATGACAAACAAAACTATACATTAAATTCATTCATAAGGATGTGGGAGATTTGCCTGATGTGCGGCTGAATATCATTCTTTCAGTGGGTTTGTGCACTTTTGGGTAGGGGTGTTCACGGGTCGGGTTGGGTCGGTTTATTAGGGTTTTTTCAATTGACCCGACCTGATCGGGTTACCTGAGATGGAAATCGAAACCGACCCACTGATAGGCCAAATCGACCTGGTCGGTTTGAGTCGGGTTGGATCGGTTTGGGTCGGTTTCGGTTTTGCTCCTGTACAAAAGGATACCTAATTGAATTCTAATTGTAATTGCCTAATGGGTTGCCTATTTGGTGTAAAAGATTATAGAAAGTTAGAAACTATGATAGATTGCATATTCTAATTGTAATTGCCTAATGGGCCTTCTACTTCTAGTAGAAGACTAGTAATAATTAAGTAGGAAACTACTCAAACTAGGAACTACCGAACTAGTAGAATACTAGTTCGGTTCAGGTCGGGTCGGTTTTGGTTTTCACATAAGAAAATTGAAACTGACCCAATATATCGGTTTATATATTTGCCCAACCCGAAACCGATCGATACTGATGAAAACCTAGCCGACTCGAGTTGGATCCGTCCAGGTTAGTCGATTTAATCGGGTTGGGCAGTCTTATGAACAACCCTACTTTTGGGTTTCAGCAGATCCCGTCTCATTAAAATATAACAATATGACTAGCTTCTTCTCTCGTTATATAGGTTGTGTTTGATTTTGATTTGAAGGAAGAGATAGTGAAAAGAAAGGAAAAATATATAGTCAAACTTATACAAACACAGCTTAAATGGTTAATAAGGAAATGAAAATGGGCCATGGGCAGATGGGCTGTTGCAAACAGAGAAAAGAGATATGGAAGAAGATCACCTCTCCACGTGATGAATGTAGTTTTGCCAAGTGGAGGGATGATATTCCACATCGTTAAGATTTCATTAACAGTTGAGGTCGGAGTTAAATACTGGACCGTACTCATTAACAAACATCGCCAACATTATCTATGACCATCGCGGTACGGTGCGGGAGACCGACCAAAACATGTGGTCACGAGGGCACCCGTACGCCATACCTACTTGTTTTGTTCGGTCTGTACTTAGGGGCCCGTTAAGGAGGGCGGAGCTGAAAGATTCGAATTCAGACTAGCTGAATGTTTTAGCTGTATTGCAGGCTGTGGACCAATATTAATACCCCACACTAGTGACAAAATAAATAGGGCCAATATTTGTGAGTAGTTTGGATCTGTTTCTGACAGAACGTTCCTTCATGCCAATCTCACCATATGTTTGAGCAGTACATCCGGAAGATTGGTGTGAGAAGGAACAAATCCCAATTGGAATGGTTGAGTTTCATCTATTTTACGACTGATTTGGAATGTTATAATTGATTCCAACCCTATTAAATAGTTATTACATTCAGTTAATCCTATTTTTAAAGGAGTTGGCATCTCCGCCTCACCGCCTGTTGCCTCACAAACGCCCCATACAACGTGTGAAAACTATATCTCCAGTCACATGTGGTGGGGTGTTTTTACGTGCGGGGTTAATGGGACAGCCGTTAGTCCTAAAATGAGCCCAAACCTCTTTTCTCTCATATTTTCGCCTCTTAATCTTAGATTAATGTTTTAAAAAATGATTCGGAAACGGAATCGATTTGGCCATCATTTTCGGATCGACGATCTAATCTTCTGGTTTGAACAAATGGGCCATTTTGACAAATAAATTAAAAAAATAAAAAATAATTAATAATAAAAATGGTCAAAAACTGTTGAATAGGTCGACAGGTTGATGGTTCGATCGCTCGGGGCAATGGAACTAGTTGCCTGGACGGTTCCCGAGCCGAAGGGTCCAACCGTTCGGGTCAATGACAATTCAAAAACCTTACCTCAAATCATGTCTGACCCCGTTCTACTCCCCTCCCCCCGAGTTCGGATCTAATTCCATTTCCGGCAATGACGATTGCTCGGGAACCGCCATTGACTTAGATGGCCGGACCATTCGGCCCAGGAACCATCTGGGCAATAGGTTCCGTTTTACCCCAAACTCGATATTTGACTAAAAACCATTGAAAAAGTTAATAACCTGTTGACCTGAGTAGTAGAATCATCGACCCATCGACCCGTTCAATGATTTTGACCATTTTTTATTTTTTAATTTATTTGTCAGAACAGGCCATTCGTTCGAACCGAACGATCGAACCGTTGACCTAGAAACCGATGGTCAAAACAGTTCCATTTTCGAATCATTTTTAAAACGTTGTATAAGAAAAAGAAAGTTTGAGTTCGTTTTAAAGTTAACAGAATGCTAACAGCTGTTCAATTAACCCCCACACGTGGGCACGTGCGACTGAACATGTGATAGTCGCACGTTGTGTGGGGCGTTTGTGGGGCGACAGGCGGTGGGGCGGAGATGCGAACTCTCTTTAAAGATTCAAGTGGATTTATTTTTTGTTTGGCAAAAGCTAAATTTGTCAGAACTTCGAAAGATTCAACCCTCTTCTTTGCCGGGCCCGAAAAAAGAAAGGACCAGCCAAGCTCAAGCAGCAGTGGAATGATACAGATGATGGTAAAATCCATAGTTACTGTGGGGGCACCAATGTGATCTCCCCTGAGCAAATATATAAGCAGCTTAATTTGTTCCTCTCACTCCGTAATGCCTGTAAAACCGCCCATGCTTGAGCTTGTTCTGAGCCATGCAGATTACTACTGCTAGCTGCAAGGAAGCTAAGAATCAGGACACAGAACCATAAAACCTACTGCAGCAGCCTGAGTGTTATCAATATAACAAAGCGACTGAAGCAGCTGCCAGACATTGCATCTCTTCGAAGTACTAACAAACAGCTGTTTTGGGCTCTCTATAAGCCGCTGCCGCTGCACTTGAACACTCCCAAAATTGCACTTACATTGTTTGGTAGATTTGTCATTGTTAAGAGACACATATGCAATGTTTCAGAGAATCAACTCAGAGGTAGAACCGTTTTTCTCCATCTGGATCGTGGTCACTGATTCAGCCAGTCAACCAATTCATATGTTATATGTATAATTTTTATACATAAATCTACAAAAGATATCCAAAATATAAAAAAGAGCCAACGGATTTTATGAAATTGTAGCTGATTTATTCGTTGGTTATGACCTTTATTTTTCACCACTGGTTCTCTCAACTTGGCATGTATGAGGCAATCTTTCAATTATTTGGGTTAAATTTCTCTTCACATGCATGTTTGAAGAGCCATAATAGCAATTATTTTTATGGTGAATTCGGGTTTGATTTTTCATTTAATTTAGGCTGTGTTTGGAATCAGTGTAAAACGTCATCAATGTAAAAATATACTGATGGCGTTTTACAATTGCTTTTTTGAAAATAATGATATGTGGAAGAGTGTAAAGTTTTACATGAATAAAATAGATGTAGTTTTTATAACGATTATCGATGTAAAACTTTCGAGTTGATGAGGTTTTACATCGATTATCGACGTAAAACTACACTCCATCCAAATGCACGCAAAACTGAACCGGAGTGTAGTTTTACATCAATAATAATTACACCCTCTTTCCAAATGCATACAAAATCGAACCGATGTAAAATTTACATTGGTTCTTGATTAACATCACATCCAAATGCAACCTTAAGAGATTAAATCATGCTTTATTTGTGAATAACAATCAATGTCGTTCATGGCCATTCCCTGCCCTTCCTTTGGGAATGAAATCCCATTCCTGTTGATTTTAATTTCCATTCCCATTCTTATCTGAACCAAACAGACTATGGGAATGGACCATTCCAATTCCGGTTCCGGAGGATTTCGATTCCAATTCCAATTCTGATTGCGAATCAAACGGACCCTTAGAGTTGAGAGATAATGGAGTCCATGATTTTGAGAGTCGAGGTCTCTCCCCAAAAATGGGCTTGGGTCTTTGTTTGGATAATT